ATTTACCCTTTTTACAAAATGCACACGAATCGGCAGGTTATTGCAGGCAGCACCAGGCACTGCAGGTTATTGCAGGCAGCACCAGGCACTGCAGGTTATTGCAGGCAGCACCAGGCGTTGCAGGCTATTGCAGGCATTGCAGTCATTGCAAGATAATACCACTTCACCATATATATATATATATATATATATATATATATATATATATATATATATATATAAATATATATATATATATATATATATATATATATATATATATATATATATATATAATTATGGCTGTACCGAATAGTGATTTTCACTATTCAGCCGAATACGAATACGAATAGTACATCATCATCATCAGGTGCCTTGCCGAATGACGTGGGTGATTATGCCTCGCCAAAATCTGCGATCTCCTGCAGCATGTATTAGTTCGTGTGCCGACACACCTCCAAGCCATGCAACAAGACTGTGAAGAATCTTCTCTCGTTGTCTTTCTCTATCCCTTCTCTCACAGATCTTTCTAGTGGTCACCACATGTTCCATTTTTCCTCTTCCCATAACATGGCGGAAAAATGATGTCTCCTTCTGATGTCTGTGATAAGTTGTCTTCGGGCTCCCGTCTCTTTCAAAACCTCTTGGCTGCTATTTTTTTTTTTTTTATGTTAAAACTGAATGTAATTGGCAAGCAAGAATGCTTTTTCTAAGCTTCAATGACAAAGATATATTGCATAAGATGTTCCTCATTTTATAAAATGCAGTTATTGCCTGTCGCCTGTGCTCTTTTCGACAGAGGCGAAGATAGTTATAATTCAAATTTTAACTTTTAAGTATCTTCATGCCTTCTTTAATAATGTAACAATTTATAGCCGACTTTTCTTGATTTTCGCCTCGGCACCCCTGGCATAAGCACCCAGTTTGAGAATTTCTGCTGTAATGCCTCGGTCGAGTCAGCAGGCAAAGACCTCGCCAGCTGCTGTACCACGCAACCCCAGCTACGACAGACTTGGGTAACAGCAACTATTGTGTTAATGAGAGAGTTACTTCAGTCCATCGCAGTGTATGCAGAAACGAGTGTAAATTAACCACAATTCATATTTGGCCCGATCGCAACTATTCGGCCGAATAACGAATAGTTATTCGGTCCACTATTCGGCCCCGAAGCGAATACGAAGCGAATATCCAGTACAGCCCTAATATATATATATTATATATATATATATATATATATATATATATATATATATATATATATATATAATATATATATATATTACTTATATATTATTGAAGGAAACTGATTGAACTAACACAATAATTACAAATCACACTGACATTTCAACATTTATTCAATTTTTTTAAACTCAGGACAAACATGACTATCAGTCGTCCCCGTGTCGGATGTACTTTTTCGTTTTTTGAAGCCCCACCATAAATATGGCCTAAGGGCTTAAAGAGGTTTCTTGGACCTCTCCACGGGTAATCCTGATCCTCATGGTGGCACTTTGTGTCACCTGGTGTTTATCGCTTGTGTGATATCCTGGTGGGGTACAACTTATATATATACACACATACGTAGGAAAAAAGTGACTACATTAAACAATATGGGTAAATGTTCTGATTAATGAAGCCTCAATAAGTCCTTGAAACTTGTGTTTTTAGGCCCTTCGGACATCTCTAGCACGTGTTCTGATTTTTTTTTTTTTTTTTTTACGTTAATCCTTCCGGTAATGTTAAATGTCTTATGTGTGTGATACTGTCTTCATTTTAATTAATATGAAGCCTCTTGTTCATCTCTAGATGGGAAGATGGTAAAAGTTGGAGAATATCACGCTCTCACAGATTTTCTGAATTTAAGCAGCGGTGAGCCCATCGTATGGCGAGGTAGGCGTGTCTGTAATTGTTTTTTTTGAAAGTTTATTCACTTTTCTGTTCGTGCTTTTGTGTGTGTGTGTGTGTGAGAGAGAGAGAGAGAGAGAGAGAGAGAGAGAGAGAGAGAGAGAGAGAGAGAGAGAGAGAGAGAGAGAGCTTAGTGGGAAGCGAAAGGGACAAACAAAAAGGGAGACAAGAAAAGAAATGTGCTTACAACAATAAGTAGTTCTCTGCTGGAATACAAAAACTGTTAAGGTAAAGGAAAGACTAGAGTTCTTCTGGTGCAGGGATCAAGACATATTTTCATGACCCAGGCGATGAATATATGAACAGTGAGTTAAACAACAATAAGGACAACATATAACTACACACAAATGCATAGGCAGCAGCACTTAGACAGATCACATGCGCGAACTACAATCATATTCTGAATCAAACAAATGGGATATAATCATCACGTTGAACATTTGTTTCTTTTCCTGAATGCTTACAAAACTAGCATGCTTCGCAGATAACATTAACAATCCACAATATACTCGAAAAGACCATGTGCTGATTACTCTAGCTAACACACATGTGAGTTCGCCTGCACTTCAAAGCAATCTACTTTCAACAGTCGCCACGATAGGAAATCTACAAATGGAAATCTACATCTAACAAAATCTTTCTACTGAACGTATCGCCAAAACACAAAGGCAGTAAGCCAGTTCTTCTGCTTCGACTCAGTCCGCTGTATCTACGTTGCACTGAGAATCCTGTTTAGTTTCTCAATCGATACTTGGGACTACATGTCTCTAATGCGAATGGTGAGACCAAAAGAGGAACTCTGGGCCTTATTTTGACTTTTGACTTATTATGCACATCTGGAAAGTTCCGATCAATAAACCTGCCAGTCTGAGTCCGCCAAGTGCAGCCAAAAGAAACTTATTAACAATTTAACAGTCTATTCAACCAATATTATGTGTGTGTGTGTGTGTGCGTGTGTATTTATATGTCCACACACTAGTGTATCTACGTTATTTAATTCAGTCCGTGTTATTTAATCACCCTGGATTATTCAATCTCTTTGTATCCAAGATGGCAAGCCCCCAGTGGATAGAAGCATAAAAACAGACGAACTTCGTCACGTGTCCTTTCCAGTATACATTGGCTTTGTTGTCACGGCAGCATTGGGTATCACTATGGCTGTCTGTTTTTTGGCTCTCAATATACGGTTCAGAAACCACAGGTAAATTATAACTTGCCTGTTTGTGTGTGTCTGTTTTAGATATGTTTTTACCTGTCAACTGTAGCACAGAAAAGCAGAAAGAACTATTGCAGACTTGCGTTGAATATAAGCGTCTTCTTAAAGGAACGACAGAGATGGGAGGTAAATACATATAGTCTACTTTACTATTATTGGAGAAAGCGGATCTGGCAAAGAAGCTGAAGATGAAAGAAATGGAAAGAAAGAAGAGAAGGAAGGAAGGAAGATAGGGAATGAAGGAAGGAAGAAAGGAAGTGTACTAGAAGCAAAACAGAAGGGGGTATCTCTTGTGATGGGGGAAAAAAGAAGAGATTAAGTATAAAGGATAATATGGATATCTACTCCTTGATGTCCTTTACTCCGAACCTACAAGAGCTCTAAACAATGTCACGTGCCGAGGGAGAGCCAAAACCCAACCTCATGCTGCCCCAGTAACAAGGTAAAAAAAAAGAGAAAAAGATCAAGTATATCTCACCCTGACAAGAAATATTCTGTGTAAAATCTAGATCAGCCAAGCAACAAATAAACTATACTAGGCACACTAACTACAAGCTGAACTGAAAACAACTGGAACTATGATTACTACATTAAACATCTGTTTATTTTACTCGACATAACATCAGCGTGGTCCACAAATATCGACATTAATAACAACAACGCGCTCGACCAGGGTCTGAAACATGAATAATCTCCAGCTAAAAAGGAAATATGATAATGACACCATACGCTCAGCGAGATTACCTCAATCATTGGAAAAAACCGAAACATATTTAACGTGTGCATTAAGCTTCAATATGCCAACAAATCACTTATAGCGACCTGCCATCAAACTATCTCCTAGCAAGAATACAAAATTGAAATCGATTCTAAAACCATCTAACCAACTGAACGTACCGTGATCGACGAGCCAATCTAGCGTCGCTCAGCCAGTCCGATCTGACACACCTGTGCTTTGAAGACCAAACAGTCAACAACAGCAGACAGGGCGATAGACCGTAGCAAGCCGGAGCGGCTGCCAAATTATGAGGCCAAAAATTGAGTCAGTTCCTTTTAAACCCCCTGTGGTCCAGAATTTTACCGCGTTACCACCCCAACCTAATAGCTTTTCCTGTTCATTTTTAAACAAGATTAAATAAAATCGTTGATCTGTAGTCTTCGTCGTTTCCACCCTATTACAGAAGGACGGAAGGACGGAAGGAAGAAAGAAAGAAAGACGGACGGACGGACGGACGGAACGGAAACGGACGGACGGACGGAAGAAAGAAACGGACAGAAGAAAGAAAGACAGACAGACAGACAGACAGACAGACAGACAGACAGACAGACAGACAGACAGACAGACAGACAGACAGGCAGGCAGACAGACAGACAGGCAGACAGACAGGAGGCAGACAGGCAGGCAGGCAGGCAGGCAGCACAGGAGGCAGACAGGCAGGACAGGCAGACAGACAGACAGACAGACAGACAGACAGACAGACAGACAGACAGACAGACAGACAGACAGACAGACAGACAGACAGACAGACAGACAGACAGACAGACAGACAGACAGACAGACAGACAGACGAAGGAGAATGAAGACGTCTGATAAAGATGAAGAAGTATGAAGACAGGAGTAAAGACAGAATAAGAAGGTTGAGGGCAATGATGGAAACAGGTTGAAAGGTATTATTTTGCGACTATTGTGTCAATATTTACTCTGTTTTCAAAAGAGCTCAAACTACTGGATCGAGACAGAGAATTATTACAGGAAATATCAGTCTCAGCAGGGATTGATTCGATCATCCGTAGAAATAAGACGACGTCACACTGTGACAACCAAAGCATGGAAATGATGTCCTTATTAAACATCGTTGTATTTTTTCAGAATAGAGCCAGATGATTTTGTTGCAACAACATTGATGAATAATGTACTACATTCTCTTGCGAAGATAAATGAAAAATTAATTTGTACGATTGTGCAATGCATTCTTTGGTTGACTGGTAAGAAGTCGGGCTTTTTGATGACAGGAAAAATCAGCGGCAGAACAAAAGAGCGAGAGGAATAGAATAAGGAGAAAATGATGTTAGACGACCCAGGACAGTCTCTTCCGTTTGCTAGGGAACCATAGAAAAATTAGGGGAGGCATGGTGTCCCCCTCGAGTGCTGGAGGTTCCGGGTTCAATCGCCGCTAAGGGCTTAGGATTTTCAAGTGTACTTGGAACTTCTAGTAATTCCCCCTGGTCTCTGGGTAATGAGATCGGAAGCCCGTCTAAAAAATCTTTGGCAGTTGGAAATCGAAAAGCGTAGCCTACCGGCGCTGCCAGGGCAAAATTTGGAGTTAAAAATTACTCAACGTATTTCGGGATCCTCGCCGGTGTTACAAAGCCTGTGCACTGGGCTGAGCTTCTTCGGACTCAGGCTTGAGTTAGAATAAGAACGGAGCACTTATAGTCTACTACCCGTGTTTCATGATGTTGATCCGTTGGTTCCAACCTCACACCTCATGGAACATTTTTTACAGTGTTGTTATATTATAACATTTTTGCGTGGGTTTAGGAACGCAGTATTAGGAGTGTGGAAAAGGGTGGGGTGGGGTGTGGGTGGGGGTGGGGGGTCGAAAGAGAATAGACTCAAAGCCCCCTAATAAACACGTCGTAAACGTTGACTTATTTGAGATTTTCTTAAATAGGATGTGCTTGGCCGAAGAGCGCAAATATCACACAGGCTGGCTGGAAACCGCAACATAATGTGCCACAAAATCACACAGGCTGGCTGGAAACCACAACATAATGTGCCACAAAATTACACAGGCTGGCTGGAAACCACAACATAATGTGCCACAAAATCACACAGGCTGGCTGGAAACCGCAACAAAATGTGCCACAAAATCACACAGGCTGGCGGGAAACCACAACATAATGTGCCACAAAATCATACAGGCTGATTGGAAACCACAACATAATGTGCCACAAAATCACACAGGCTGGCTGGAAACAGCAACAAAATGTGCCACAAAATCACACAGGCTGGCGGGAAACCACAACATAATGTGCCACAAAATCATACAGGCTGATTGGAAACCACAACATAATGTGCCACAAAATCACACAGGCTGGCTGGAAACCACAACATATTGTGTCACACAATCACACAGGCTGGCTGAAAACCACAACATAACGTGTCAACATATTTTTAAGGGTGCCCGCAGAAGAAGAAGTATATTATGTCACAATAAAAACAATAATTATAATTGTCATAATAATTATCATCATCATAGATTTAGTGAGTTATAGAAGTACGTAACAGAAAATACATTGATAAAATACATGCTGCAGACACACGAGGTTATACTCAGTACATCAAAATTATAACTGTCTTTACACCCTAAAACAAACAAAATTTGTTTTGTTCCTTCAGCCAAATAATAGCGATTAATATCGTAAACGCCGAGTTCAGAACAGCATTTGGCCTGCGAACTTTTAATTTTGTAATTGACTTTTTTGCTCCTCCAAGCTGCCGTCTTGAACGGCAGATAATTTGTCAGATTCATCGGCTTGCATTGTTTCCCCGTTCTGTGCGATTCCTTTCAGCACAAGGTAACGACGCCATTTCTAGACAAGGCCATTGTAGGCTTGCCGGAGAGATCGTGTTTGTGCCTCTGCTAATTCTACTAATGCAGGGTTTGTCTGTCCCTTGTCTTTTCTACTTTGTAAAAAAAAAAAAAAAACGACCACTTGGGACAACCCATTTCGAGGTAATCTAATTGCTTGGCCGCAATGTCTGGCGCCCTTCACTGCGTATGTGTGTGTATGTGTGTCTAAACCTGTGTGTGGGATGGTCAATTGTCTAGCTTGGCATTAGATTGTATCTGACAATCTTTCTTTTAACTGTATTGTATGTTTATCTCTACTTCCTAGATACATCAAAATGTCAAGTCCAAACATGAACAACCTGATAATAGTCGGATGCATCCTGTGCTACATGTCCATCCTCTTGCTGGGTACAGACCCTGACCACAACGACAGACTTCTTTTTAGCTATTGGTGCACGGTAAGTTTCTTACTGCTATTGTGACCATAAGATCGTGAGCTGAAAGCGGGACATCCCAGGCAAGTCACCCCCCCCCCCCCCTTTTCCCTCCTCCCCGTTTTCGTAGGTCACCGGGATAAAAGGTTTAATTACTTACTCGACAATGATATTAAAACCCTAACCATTGCAGCCAAGATATAAACGAAACAATATGCTCTTTAACTGCAGTAAAAAAAAAACATGCTATCGGGAATTTTCGGATCATAAATTTTATTCATTGTGACATTAGGAGTATCTAAATTATAAAATATAATAAGGGCTACAGATATTGTTCTGTTTTCGAGTTTGTTCCTGGATTTTTATGAAAACGGGCCCATTGGAGCTTCCTTCGAGTACCGACGGAACGATCAGGACACACTGTCACATACCGCTCGTGTCGCGTGCCTGATTTAAGGATTACTCCTTAAGAACCAACAGCACTCTGAAATAATTATGTTGAGGCGTTGGCTCGTATTGGTTTAAGGGGGATCGCGTGGCCAATATACGCCCAACTTATTTCAGGAGTAGGGCATCCAGCCGAAACGTCGATTTGTCATATTTTGTGCACGTCAAGAACATCTACATAGTGGTGAACGTGCGTTGGTTGAAAGTCACTGCTTCATTGAGAGTGGGTCAAAAGACAAATGAACAAAAATCCAAAATGACTGATCTGGGACTGGTATTATGACAGTCCGTATTCTGTTGAGTGATGGAATATAATGAGGCTACTCTTCTTTTTGAGAGCTATTGACTTTTGGCTACTGTTAATATTGATGAACAACGTAGCATGGTGTTTTTTTTTATGTGAACTCGTGATATTGGTGAACAGCGGTAGCATGGTGTTTTTATGTGAACTCTTGATATTGGTGAACAACGGTAGCATGGTGTTTTTATGTCAACTCTTGATCTTGGTGAACAACGGTAGCATGGTGTTTTTAAGGTAACTCTTGATATTGGTGAGCGATGTGTGATGATGTTTTGATGTCAATTTGCTGATCAAACAGCCTCAAGTACTGAAGCTAAATGAGCACATTAGCTGGAAAGTCAAAAGATATTGGGCTCAAAACAGCATCGTCTCGGATTTTTTTTTTCTATCCAAAATTAACATAGGTTTTCACAGGTACTTGATAAAGTCCTATGAAGTAAGGGCTGTCACGGTGATGCTACAAAATCAGCCCCCCCCCCTCCCCGAGTGCTGATTAGTCTATAAAATATGTCGTATCATTATCTGCCTAATTTGCCTGTAGGCATGGAAAACGGTCCTTTACTTTACTTGACAATAGACATTAGAAAATTCAATATGATAGTCTTGGATCAGGTATTACGTTAGTCCCCCGCATTACAAATAATTGAAATATAATTTTTGCTTATACGAGGTAAATAAATATACGACGATCCTTGCTGGATTGCCTTTTAAGAATTATACGGCACAAAATTCAAATGAAACCAATCGTCCTTTAACAAAAAATACGTGTTTCTTCTTCTTCTTCTTCTTCTTCTTCTTTTTTTTTAAATTCCTAATAAGATTACAAACGTTGCACTGAAAGTATGGCTGCGAGCTATAAAAGTGAATGTACCGGATCGTTTCCAAGTTCATGACAAGTTGTAAAAATGTAACTGATGTGGTTAGGGTTGGGGTCATTCACGTAGGTACTGTTAAATTTGTGTGGTTACCTAACTAAAATTACATAAGTGAAATAAATAACAAAGAAAAGGTCTGTTCCAACACAGCTGGGTAGTCTAAATATTATTTATATATAAAACATGGAGTAAAACCACATCCAGTACGACAGGCTTAGGGCTGCTATTGTGACAGTCCGTGTTCTCTTGAGTGGCGGAATATAATAAGTATATTCCTGTTCTTAAAAGCCACTGAAACATATTGGCTAGACTCTCGACTGCTGAAGCGAAAGTCTTGGGTTTAAATCAGCAGCGACTGAGGTATTTTTTTTTTTTTTTTGTTCTTAATAAAAATGGGTACGATCTAATGTCTCTGCGTAGTAAAGGTTGCTGGAATGCTGACCCCCATCACCCACTGACTGCCGTGTGGTCTATAAAATATTAGTCTAGCATCACACGCGGATGCTGCATTGTCGTAGAACGGGTCCCTTTTGCTTTGCTGACTTTCATTTATTCCTCTCCTCTTGCTTCTCAGGTAAATATTCACACAGCAATGCTGGCGTATAGGTAAAGACAAAATAGTAGTATTCGCAGCAGCAGCAACAGTAGCAGTAGTAGTAGCAGCAGCTGGTCAGCAGTAGTATTAGCAACAGCAGAAGCAGCAGAAGCAGCAGCAGAAGTAGAAGCACTAGTAGCAGTAATGTTAGCAGTGGTAGTGACAGTGGTAGTAGCATTAGTAAATCATAGTAGCAATAGTAGTAGTGGTGGTGGTGGTGGTGGTGGTAGTGGTGGTGGTGGTGGTGGTAGTGGTGGTGGTGGTGGTGGTGGTAGTGGTGGTGGTAGTGGTGGTGGTAGTGGTGGTGGTGGTGGTGGTGGTGGTGGTAGTGGTGGTGGTGGTGGTGGTAGTGGTGGTGGTGGTGGTGGTGGTGGTGGTGGTGGTAGTGGTGGTGGTGGTGGTGGTAGTGGTGGTGGTAGTGGTGGTTAGTAGTAGTAGAGTTTTTGTTGTAATAGTAGTAGTAGCAGCAGTAGCAGCAGCATTAGTAGTAGTAGAAAAAGAAGTAGTAGTAGTGATGTTAATAATAACAGTAATAGTTATCGATATATATATAAAAATCAATGTTTGTGTGTTTGTTTGCCCCTTATAGACTCGGAAACTACTGAACCGATTTAGCTAAAATTTTCAGGATATGTTTGTTTTGATACCGGATGTTGAACCATCATGGTTTAAAATTCAACCTGTCACTGTTAGAGATAGGTGACCACAATTTAAGCCATAATATTCGAAACTAATATTTATAATTTTAGTGATTTCTAACTATAGCCACATTAGTAATTGCGCATGCGCCGTAGTCAGAACACAAGGCTTCCACCATTCACCAGCGAGTTACGTGCAGCCAACGCCTTCTCTAATACATAGAGTAGGTCGTGGTACAGCAAACAAGACTATCTCTATATTTGCTACAATAACCATATTAAACACGATTTATATGTTCTGTTTTTTTTAAACAACCTTAGATGGGGGGTGGGGGGTTGGGCATCAAGGACTATCTCGACGTCGGCGCAGACATTGACTGCGACATTAACTTCATTAACCGTGATAGACACGTGCGATTTCTATTGTTGTGCCGTTTCATTAATATATCTGGAGTATCTGTCTATGAGAAAACAATTGCCTGCGGTTTTGAGTTGTGTTATAATCGGGGACACAGTAGTAGGGACACACATCTCTAATAGTTAAGTTCTCTTTTCGTTGATCCAATTAAGTGGCTGCTTGGTCGAATGGTTAGAACACTGGGTTCCTGTGCGGGAGACAAGGGTTCGAATCCGCAGTAGTTAATTTTTTTTCCCCGGACTAAAATAATATCCTCATCTGCTCTGTCGTGGTGACAGCACTAGCCATGCTGCCTTATTACTTTAAAAAAAAAAAAAAGACAGGTAAATGGGTAAACCATTTGATAATTAAATTTGACCATTTCGCATACTTATGATTGCATTTTTAAACTTTCCGATTGCATGGTTACGCTGAAATTTCATAGATTTCCATTTATTTTCATTTAGATTTAGTTATTTCATCTGCGTTGGAATTTTAAGCTGTGCTGTTTACCATGGCGTTCATTTCCTAATTATGGTGTTTTTTTCCTGTGTTCATTTGCTTTTCAAGTGTGTTTTTTTTTTCTCCCAACTACTTCAATGAGGGAAAGAGTTGTCGGTGAATTTAGGGGGGGGGGGGGGGGGGACAAACTATTAACTGAGAGAGCTTTAAGTCACAGTAACTGCTTTACCCACTTAAAGTAGCAGCAGCAGTAATAGTTGTGGTTGGGCTATTACACCATAGTGCTCTCATGTGAAGACCGCCGGTAAGGTTATGGCGTTCTTCTGTCGGGAAGTGAAATTATACATCCTAACCTGACCAGTCTGTGTCGACAGCACTAGCCATGCGGAACCAAATCTTCTGGCTCACGACTCTCTGTCTACTCCGAGGGTAACACAGATAGCAGTGAATTTAGGGGAGGGGGGCAAACTATTAACTGAGAGAGCTTTAAGTCACAGTAACTGCTTTACCCACTTAAAGTAGCAGCAGCAGTAATAGTTGTGGTTGAGCTGTTACACCATAGTGCTCTCATGTGAAGACCGCCGGTAAGGTTTTGGCGTTCTTCTGTCGGGCATTGAAATTATACATCCTAACCTGACTAGTCTGTGGCGACAGCACTAGCCATGCGGAACTAAATCTTCTGGCTCACGACTCTCTGTCTACTCCGATGGTAACACAGATAGCAGTTACATTATTTTAGCTACTGTGGTGGTGGTCGTGGTAGTAGTTGTACTAGTACTTGAAGGATGATGTGGTAAATATTACACTAGCCCCATTCACTACCTATTTCAATTCCTGCTCCCCATTTTAGTACTGATGGACAGGGATGTTAATGTTAGTTACAGCAACAACAAAAAATATCGCCTGGTAGTGACTTTCAAATCCCTCGAAGAGGGAGAGAGCAGTAGTCGGTGGAAGAGGGGAGGGGAGGGGGTAATGACTTAAATTTGAGAGAACTTAAAGAGCTTTACACGTGATATTTAAGTTCTCATTACCTAATTTGTTTATATTTTACTAACGCTACCTCCGCTTTTCTATTTGTTACGACTTACTTTGTTATTCACAAGTACAGTTGTAGCTTTACTTCCGTCCCTATAAAAATACAAACAGCTTTAGCATGTGATAACCAAATAACCATTTTTGTTACTGTGCTAATAACACAACGACCACTAATATAAAGACACAATTATAAGGTGCGTGTTCTAAAGTTGGAAAACCAGACTATCTCTATATCTGAGCAGACAATGATTGTATTAGACACGTGCGATTTCTATTTTCTTTCATTTCCATTTAGCCAAACTATGCCACAGCAACTCGTGGCCGGGTACAGCTAGTTATTATTATAAAAATCAGTTTGTTCTTTCCTCTGCTCAGGCCAGATCATGGACTCTGGCACTAGGATTCACTTTAGCTTTTGGTGCTATGTTTGGCAAGACATGGCGTGTTCATGCAATCTTTACCAACATCAAGCTAAACAAGAAGGTAAGTGATTACTGTAGGACACCAACGTCAATAGTTCACATCAACACATCATAAACATGGTTCACAGAGATAAAAGTTCACATCAAAACAACATGCACACATGGTTAATCAAGATAACGGTTCACATCAACACGCCATGCAAACACATTTCACAAAGATAAAATTTCACATCAAAACATCATGCACACACAGTTAATCAAGATAAAGATTCACGTCAAAACACCATGCACACACAGTTCACCAAGATAAAAGTTTACATCAAAACACCATGCACACACGGTTCATCAAGATAAAGGTTCACATCAAAACACCATGCACACACAGTTCACCAAGATAAAAGTTCACATCAAAACACCATGCACACACAGTTCACCAAGATAAAAGTTCACATCAAAACACCATGCACACACAGTTCACCAAGATAAAAGTTCACATCAAAACATCATGCACATACAGTTCACCAAGATAAAAGTTCACATCAGAACACAATGCACACACGGTTCACCAAGATAAAAGTTCAATTCAAAACACCATTCACCCACGGTTTAAGAAGATACAAGTTTTCATCAAACACTAAACATACACGGTTCACCAAGATAAGCGTTCACACCAAAACACCGTTGCACATTCTTCACCCAGTCCTTAAGACAGAAAATTGCGGTTTTTAAGCTACAATGATATTAGAAGATTATCATAATATCACGGATAAAGAAGAGAAAAAATACCGACATTTTAAAAGATCTGAAAATCAAGCAAGATTGGCTAATAAACAGCATCTTGTCCCGGAAGCTGCAAAATGGCGGACGTATCAAGCGTCAAGGCGGATTAGAAAATATAATACAGCAGGTATGTTACCAGTAATGCGGAGCATTGGCCGACCAACACTAAGATGGGCGCAGCATACAAGTGGCTTCTTGATTATGGAAGTACACGAGGCGGCAGAGCTGGCAGACCGTGATAAGGATTTACCCCTCTTTCAAATCGTTATTTTTAAAATTCATTTCGGCCCGGACAATAATTACTAATTGTAAAAACTTTCTAGAAGCGAACTGGACTAAATCATCTCTGTATCGTTGTTACATTTTTTAAGTGGCACGGGCACGAGTGAAAGCTACACCGCAGTCACCTTGTAGCAAGGCCCCCCCCCCCCATCCCCCCTTCCCCCAACCCGCAACCACCAGCTTTTTAAGTAGCGTTGGGGGGGGCGGTACTTAAATTTTAATTCACTTCCAAGAGAAAGGAAATCTGGAAGGTCTTGGGAAAGTTCAAACACATCATGTGACATTATGTCGTGGTTAATATAACACAGTTCTAACCATAACTGTAAACTCTAAACTCAGACCATAATCCGATCCATGCTAAATATAGGTAACCTAAATATAATTGGTGAAAATATAAGGGTGACTGCAGTCAAGTTAATACAAGGAATTCCAGAGAAATCTGACTAAAAAGCTCAACAAAATGGGGAAGCAGAAAAACGTGCACAAAACAACACAAAGCAACGTTTCGGCAGGCCGAGTAGCCTTTTTCAAACATAAGTGAACTACACAAACGTAACAACGAGGAGAGGAGAGTATGTAGATCTCTAAGGGTTGACGTGAGCAACGTAAAAAAAAATGTGGTGTGAAATAAAATAAACGATGGCTGAAAAGATATAGTCACAAAAAGATAATAAACAGTAGTATTGTTAATATATAATATAATACTTGGAATAAAAGAAATACAAATGTTAATGATATATAAATGACACTGATAAGAAATAAAATAAAGTAATAATATGAAATAAAAGAAAAGAAAAGAAAATCATTAACATTTAAAATGGGATAAGAGTATAACTATTACATGAATGTATGTTGGATATTGATACCACCTGGACTAAGAACGCCTAGGCTGTGGATGAGGCGATTTTCCAAAGCGAGGCGCTTAGCATGATCGCCAGAGCAATATTTTAAAGCTCTGAAAGATATATCATCTTTACCTCTGTGGTCAGAGCTATTAAAATGGAGAGGGATTGGTTTAAGTGTCTTTTTGTCAATATCAGAGAGGTGTTCCCGGAAACGATCAGAGCTTTTTAGTCAAATTAACCTAAATATAGCTGGCATGTTTGTTTGGGTAAATTATAATTGAAGCGTTCACCCCCTTCCGCTTCCCTAGAAAACTATAAAGGACTCATCCTCCCCCTTTCCCCTTTTATTTCTTTGAGTCGCGCTCCCCAGTGTGAGTGTGCGATTCTGGGGCTAGCCAGGAGAGATCACTTTATGTGAAATTGTTATCTCCCAGGTGATCAAGGATTACAATACTTTCACGTGAACCTGATATCTCCCAGGTGATCAAGGATTACAATAATTTCACGTGAAATTCTTATCTTCCTGGGATCAAGGATTACAAAATGTTTACCTGAAACTGTTATCTCCCAGGTGATCATGGATTACAGTAATTTCACATGAAAAGTTAACTCTCAAGTGATCAATGATTACAGTAATTTCACGTGAAACTGTTATCTCCCAGGTTATTAAAGATTACAAGCTCTTGATGATAGTTCTAGTCCTGGTGCTAATTGACGTCATTATTCTGGTCACGTGGCAAATCGTTGATCCCTACGATATGTCCGTCAAGAAACTTTCTACAGAGGTCAGTCATTTTGTATCATATGGTGTGTGTGTGTGTGTGTGTGCCAGAGTGTATTTTTGTGTGCGTGAATGTGCGTGTGTTTATGTGTGCATGTGTGTATTTGTTTCTGTGTTAGAGAGAGAGAGAGAGAGAGAGAGAGAGAGAGAGAGCGCGCGCGTGTGAGCGTGTGCGAGCGCCTGAGTGTGTGTGTGTATCTGTCAGTGCTTGTGTTTTTTTCAGAATACCATTGACCAAGAAAAAGAGTTTCTTGCACTCAGACTTTTATGAGAGCGACGTTCTACAAAGAACCTGCTACATTATGATGAGGATGTGTATGTTTTGTTTAAACTGATACATGGGTGCCACGGTAGTGGAGTGGCTAAACATTCCGCCTGTCAGTCCGGAAGTTTTGGGTTCGAGTACGTTTTTTATGGTAACCAAAAAAAACCATCACAGCATGAACCTCGCAGCTGGCTGGATTTTTTATTTTTGCACTCATTATAAATCACTCACACGCAGCTTCAAACAAGATTTCGACAGTGAAACAATAGCATACGGCTAGCTAATGAATCACATAAACATACTGCATATGCACATTTACGTTTTCCATCGGTGTTGGTCGCTGAGGTCAAAACGGGACGTACTTTAAAAACACCCCTCGTACTTTACACGAAGCAAACAGAAGGGCCGGTTCCAGAGATCTCTCCCTGTCCAGACGCTGCGATGCATTGCAGGAGCAGAGGAAAGAAGGAGAAGAAGTCAGGATTGCCCTATTTGTTTGTAATATAATTCCTTGATACTCTTATTGTAGAAAATATATAATCTTTTTCCCAAACGAAAGAAAGACGAAGTAGAAGAATGTAACCACGTATAAAAAAAAAACAGATCGTTCTTGCATCCCGCATCAGTATCAGTTTCGGGATAATTATACCAGTTGACCTCATCAAGACGTATCCCTATTACATAAAGGTTACAGGATAGGCTTTGTGTTATAAGAGTCAGTGAAAGCCCATTTAAACAGTCAGTCATGTATTGACGGGCACTCATAAAAAGTAGCAGAATGATAGACGGGCACACTAGACTAAGAAAGCAATAGTTACCATACGGGAATCCAGCCTTTTACTTCCAAATGTTGACAGCGCATTGCTGCAGATACTAAGATGAATGACCAACTAGGTACCCCTGTATTTTTGTTTAGTTTTTATTTATAAGACTCGTGACCAACTTGACACTTCTTTACTTCTGGTTTTTCTTGACCAACTAAACACTTCTTTACTTCTGTTTTTTTTCTCTCTCTTAATAATAAGACTCATGACCAACTAGACACTTCTTTACTTCTGTTTTTTGTTTTTTTTCTTATAAGACTCCTGACCAACTAAACACTTCTTCTGTTTTTTTTCTCTCTTAATAATAAGACTCATGACCAACTAGACACTTCTTTACTTCTGTTTTTTTTTTTTCTTATAAGACTCCTGACCAACTAAACACTTCTTTACTTCTGTTTTTTTTTCTCTCTCTTAATAATAAGACTCATGACCAACTAGACCCTTCTTTACTTCTGTTTTTTTTTTTTTTTTTCTATAAGACTCCTGACCAACTAAACACTTCTTTACTTCTGTTTATTTCTCATTTAGAAGACGCAAAACAAAACAAAACAAAAAAGGCACCCCACTATTTCTGTGAATTTCCTATTTCTAAGACACAATACCGCTAGAGACCATGTATTCTTATTTCCATAACACATCACCAGTTAAGCACTCCAGTACTGCTGCTTATTTCCTTATTCTAAGATAATTAAACAATTAGCCTCCCTGTTATTTGTTTATTTCACAATGTTGACGGACCATGGTTTGATTACAGAGGGATTAGAAATACATCGTACTCGTGGATTTCGGACATACCTCAATTACATCATCATCGTGTAGCAGGTCCTTTGCAGAACGTGGCTCTCATCACAGTCTGCCTGAAAGAAATTCGGTCTCTCGCCAGCTCTCCCGCCTCATGCACTTTCATTCTCAAGGAGTCACTTATATCCTGTGCCCATCTTCGTGTTGATCGGCCCCTGCCCCTCCTTCCTGGTACCATGCCTTCTGCTATAATTTTTTCCAATCCGTCGTGGCGCTTGATTTGACCAAAATATTTCAGCTTCCGAGACAGGATGCTGTTTATTAGCCAATCTTCCTTGATGTTCAGATCTTTCAAGATGTCAGTATTTTTCCTTTTCTTTGTCCAAGATATTCTGAAAATCGTTCTATGGCATTTCATCTCAAAAGCCCCTATTCTCTTTCTTAAGGACTGGGAGATAGTCGACGAGTCACATCCGTATGTTGCTACGGGGAAGATGCATGTTCTCCATATTCTAATTTTGATCTCCTTTCTGCTGCTTAACAGTAGACTTTTAAGGCTGTTTAATTACCTCAATTTACTTTACCTAATTGTTTGGTTGCGGTAGCATCCTTGCCTGTTGTCCGGGTAGGTTTGTGTTCGTATCTGCATTCGAATCTGGATCATGGAATCCAATTTCGATACAGCTTAAAATTTGTCCCAGACACACAAAAATGTCCTGAAGCTGATTACAAAAAGTGATAGTTAGTTAGTTAGTCTTTCCTCTTGTGTCGAGTGCGGCACATAGGGCAGAGGTCATGACTCTCCATGCATGGCGGTTCGTTGCTCTATAAATAGCAACGGTTACTAACAGTACTAATTTTTTAAAGAATAAAAAAGTACTCAAAAAAAGGTATCTAACCAAAGGTGCCGGAACTCACCGGAAAGTTGCTGTTATAGTATATGCTAAAATAGTACGTCTAATTTTTTAAAAAAAGGAGTCGGAACTGTGTACTGTTGAGTATCGCCAGAAAAAAAAGGAGTCGCAACTGTGTACTGTTGCGTATCGCCAGAAAAAAAAGGAAGGTGGGGTGGGGAAAGGGGGAGAAGCTATTTAATGCCATATAAGCGCATTGTTCAAATGGTTTGAAAAGAGTCCTGTACTGTAACTAGTTGCTCTAACAGACTATCTGGCAACTATCCAGGTGTACGAGGACATTGAGGTCATCCCCAAGATTATCTACTGCTACAGCAGCCACATGGAAATCTGGCTGGGTACCTTGTACATTTACAAAGGTCTTCTACTGGTGAGTATCCAGGTCTGATGTTCTAGTATGATCGTGCTCTATGTTGTTTTTTTTTTTTAGTATCCAGAAGCCATGAGTTAAGCCCTTAGGCTCACTATTATGGATATCGCAACCTTTCGGCCTTGATTCCATAATAAATACCGTAAATCTGGGAGAAATGTGGATTTTCTGCCTACCCCTGGGAGTGAACCCTGACCACAAGGAGTTCGTCACCCGGTCACCGCGCAGTCCGGTTTAGTCAAGTACGCTAGAGAGCCGGATTGTGCTCTATGGTCGGTGGCTCGCCTAATATGTTTTTGTATTTTTTTTTTTTTTTTTTTTCTGCGACTTCCTTGTGTTATTTGAGAATGTTTTTCCTTGGTGCTCCATGGCTTGGAGCAGTGGTCTCCAACCTCGGGCGGGGGCTTGCGCGCCCTCAATGGGGCGCAAGGAGGTTTCAAGGGGGCGTCAAGCAATTTTAAAAATAAATAGATTTGTATTTGTAATAATCCGTTATACTTTCATTCTGTTTAAGTTTAATAATAAAAAATTTGCCAGTTAGCGCCTTTATTTAACCACTTTAACGGTGTTAGCAGGGAGGTCTTTGAACCTGAGGACTTATGGCGCATGGCTAGTGCTGTCGCCACAACTGTGCAGGTGAGGACTTATTTGGCCCCAAAAGAAAAGATCCCCAGCCTTACCGAGGCGTCGTAGGTCTCCAGCTTGTGAGCACCTCGTTCTAACCATTCGGCCAGCCGCTCCTTAAGTTTAATTTGAACAAAGTAGAAACAAACAATAGACTGCACAATTTATTGCCTGGCATATTTCGCTGTATCTCATCAGGTGCATACTACAGTAACAAGTGAATAAATGAAGCAAATAGCTGAATCCTAGAAACTGAAACACAAATTCGAGTACATTCTACACTGTCAGTTTCACCAAGGTAACCTTAAGGAAACTACCATTTCTTTCTGCCTACAGAGATCCGGTTTTAACCGCTGGATCGCGGAAGCTTAGGCGTATCTGAGTAATCTACGGTTTGCCGATTTGTAAATAATTCGAAATTCATCATCCCTGTTAATGATGTGCCCGGAATTTAGAATGTGGCACGCAATTGCTGATGATGGATTTTGTGCCAGGCAATAAATTGTGCAGTCTATTGTTTGTGTCTTCTTTGTTCAAATTCACATCGGGGAAACATTGCTTTAATTTTAATTGTAAATAAAAAAAATTTTTAAAGTATGTTTGAGACAAAACTACAAAGGACATTTATTTTTTGTTTTCATGAGCAGTGCGGGAATCTACGGTAGAGAATCTGAATACTGTGATAACACTCGCATATAGTTATAGATTCTCCGGGCAAATCGTTTGGCCATACTTTCTGTTTCCCTTGCTGTTTAATCTATTGTCCTCTTTAATTACATTTTGTTATGTTAAAGCTGGACTCATGCTATATACTCAAGGGTGTTATAATATACTCAAGAGGCAGGTGAGGCGGAGCATCTCTTTTCGCCCATGCACGTCCGCGAGGCACTTAGCGATAATAGTGATGATGATAATGTACGAATAAACTAGTAATTTGAACTTCTGTCGTCTTCTTCTTCTTCTGCCTTTTTATCCCCCAATGGAGCATAGGCCCTCAACCAACTCACGCCAAGTCGTTCTATCCTTCGCCATTACATGGAGCTCTCCCCATGTCCTCCCAATCTTTCTAACCTCATTCTCCAGCTCTCTTCTCCATGTGTTTTTTGGCCTTCCTTTATTCCTATGCCCCTGTGGGTTCCAATGCAAAGACATTTTAGTTATGCTGTTCTCCTGTTTTCTCAGTGTGTGCCCTATCCAACGCCAGCGTCTTCTCCTCACCTCCTGATCCACTGGAGCCTGTTTAGTTCTCTCCCAAAGTTCTACATTAGTTATTCTATCATACCATTTTATTCCCTCTATTCTGCGCAGGCACCAGTTAATGAATGTCTGTAATTTATTAGTAATTGCCTTCGTTGTTCTCCATGTTTCCGCCCCATACAATAGTACTGATTTGACATTAGAATTAAAAATTTTTAGTTTAGTATTTCTTTTAATTTCTTTTGACCTCCACAAATTCCCTAGTGCTATGAAAGCCCCTCTTGCCTTTTGTATTCTTATTTTAATATCTCTATCAGTTCCTCCATCTTTATCTACATTACTGCCCAAATAGGTGTACGACTCCACGTCTTGGAGTGGGGTGCCATTAAGAGAAACCACATTACTATTTGCCTGATTTATTCTCATTATCTTTGTCTTTCCTTTATGGATTTTCAGACCAAGCTGCTGTGATCTCGCATTAAGTATATTTAATTTATCTTGTATCTGATTCCGTGAATGGGACAGAAGGGCAATATCATCAGCGAAGTCCAGATCATCAAGCTGTTTTGTAGGGTCCACTGAATTCCATTCTTGGTGTTAGCAGTTACTGTTTTCATAGTCCAGTCTATAGCCAGTAAAAATAGGAGAGGCGACAAAAGACATCCCTGTCGCACACCTGTTTTTATTTCAAATGCATCTGTTAGCTTTCCCTCATGAAGAACTCGACATTTCATGTCTTTATATGTTGCCTTTACTAAGTTGATAATTTTCTGTGGGATTCCATAGTGCCCCATCAATTTCCAGAGAGATTCCCTATCAATGCTGTCAAATGCTTTTTCATAGTCTATAAATCCAATGTAAAGTGGTGAGTTCAGTTCAATGCTTTGCTCTATTATAATACGTAATGTGGCTATCTGATCAGTACAGGATCTGTTGGACCGAAAACCCGCCTGCTCATCTCTTAGCCCCCCCCCCCCCCACCCGCCACCCCAATTGGGAAATTGATTTTACTTGCATACCTGTTTAGTTACCACTGTATTCCTCTAATGTCATCATGTGTTTTGAGTTTATTGAGCGCTCTGATACTATTGTGTTTTCTGATTTCATTGATCACTCTGACTTCATCTGTTCTGAGTTAAATGATCACTCTGATGTCACCACGTGTTCTGAGCTCATTGATCACTCTGTCGTCGTGTGTTCTGAGCTCATTGATCACTCTGTCGTCGTGTGTTCTGAGTTCATTGATCACTCTGTCGTCATGTGTTCTGAGTTCATTGATCACTCTGTCGTCGTGTGTTCTGAGTTGTTCATGATCACTTTGATGCTGTCACGTTTTCTGAGCTCATTGATCACTCTGTCGTCGTGTGTTCTGAGCTCATTTATCACTCTGTCGTCATGTGTTCTGAGTTGTTCATGATCACTTTGATGCTGTCACGTTTTCTGAGTTCATTTATCACTCTGATACCATCATGTGTACAGAGTTTATTGATCAGTCTGATACTATCATGTGTACAGAGTTTATTGATTACTGATACTATCATGTGTACAGAGTTTATTGATTACTCTGATACCATCATGTGTACAGAGTTTATTGATTACTCTGATACTATCATGTGTACAGAGTTTATTGATTACTCTGATACTATCATGTGTACAGAGTTTATTGATTACTCTGATACTATCATGTGTACAGAGTTTATTGATCAGTCTGATACTATCATGTGTACAGAGTTTATTGATCACTCTGATACTATCATGTGTACAGAGTTTATTGATCAGTCTGATACTATCATGTGTACAGAGTTTATTGATCACTGATACTATCATGTGTACAGAGTTTATTTACTGATACTATCATGTGTAACAGAGTTTATTGATCACTCTACTATCATGTGTACAGAGTTTATTGATCACTCTGATACTATCATGTGTACAGAGTTTATTGATACTCTGATACTATCATGTGTACAGAGTTTATTGATTGATCACTCTGATACTATCATGTGTACAGAGTTTATTGATCACTCTGATACTATCATGTGTACAGAGTTTATTGATCACTCTGATACTATCATGTGTACAGAGTTTATTGATTACTCTGATACTATCATGTGTACAGAGTTTATTGATCACTCTGATACTATCATGTGTACAGAGTTTATTGATCACTCTGATACTATCATGTGTACAGAGTTTATTGATCACTCTGATACTATCATGTGTACAGAGTTTATTGATTACTGATACTATCATGTGTACAGAGTTTATTGATCACTGATACTATCATGTGTACAGAGTTTATTGATCACTGATACTATCATGTGTACAGAGTTTATTGATCACTGATACTATCATGTGTACAGAGTTTATTGATCACTGATACTATCATGTGTACAGAGTTTATTGATCACTGATACTATCATGTGTACAGAGTTTATTGATCACTGATACTATCATGTGTACAGAGTTTACTCTGATACTATCATGTGTGATACTATCATGTGTACAGAGTTTATTGATCACTGATACTATCATGTGTACAGAGTTTATTGATCACTCTGATACTATCATGTGTACAGAGTTTATTGATCACTGATACTATCATGTGTACAGAGTTTATTGATCAGTCTGATACTATCATGTGTACAGAGTTTATTGATCAGTCTGATACTATCATGTGTACAGAGTTTATTGATCACTCTGATACTATCATGTGTACAGAGTTTATTGATCAGTCTGATACTATCATGTGTACAGAGTTTATTGATCACTGATACTATCATGTGTACAGAGTTTATTGATCACTGATACTATCATGTGTACAGAGTTTATTGATCACTGATACTATCATGTGTACAGAGTTTATTGATCACTCTGATACTATCATGTGTACAGAGTTTATTGATCACTGATACTATCATGTGTACAGAGTTTATTGATCACTCTGATACTATCATGTGTACAGAGTTTATGTGTCATGTGTACAGAGAGTACTATCATTGACAGAGTTTATTGATCACTGATACTATCATGTGTACAGAGTTTATTGATCACTCTGATACTATCATGTGTACAGAGTTTATTGATCACTCTGATACTATCATGTGTACAGAGTTTATTGATCACTCTGATACTATCATGTGTACAGAGTTTATTGATCACTCTGATACTATCATGTGTACAGAGTTTATTGATCACTGATACTATCATGTGTACAGAGTTTATTGATCACTCTGATACTATCATGTGTACAGAGTTTATTGATCACTGATACTATCATGTGTACAGAGTTTATTGATCACTGATACTATCATGTGTACAGAGCTTATTGATTACTCTGATACTATCATGTGTACAGAGTTTATTGATCAGTCTCTGATACAGAGTTTTATTGATCATGTGTACAGTACAGAGTTTATTGATCACTGATACTATCATGTGTACAGAGTTTATTGATCACTCTGATACCATCATGTGTACAGAGTTTATTGATCATCACTGATACTATCATGTGTACAGAGTTTATTGATCACTGATACTATAGGATGTGTACAGAGTTTATTGATCACTGATACTATCATGTGTACAGAGTTTATTGATCACTGATACTATGATGTGTACAGAGTGATTGATCACTGAGACTAGGTTGCATCAGAGTTTATTGATGACTGTTTACTATCAGGTTCAACAGAGTGATATCTGATGTTACAGAGTTTATTGATCAGGTTCCATCATGTGATACAGAGTGATGTGAGTGTTACTGCATACATCCTGGCAGATGTGGACTGTTACTGCAGGTTTGCACTGATACTGTGGTGTGACTGTTACTGCAGGTTCCACCACTGTGGTGTGACTGTTACTGCAGGTTGCACGAGTGTGGTGTGACTGTTACTGCAGGTTGCACGAGGGTGGTGTGACTGTTACTGCAGGTTGCACGAGTGTGGTGTGACTGTTATCATTTGCACAGAGTTTATTGCAGGTTGCACGAGTGTGGTGTGACTGTTACTGCAGGTTGCACGAGTGTGGTGTGACTGTTACTGCAGGTTGCACCTGGGTGATGTGACTGTTACTGCAGGTTGCATCACTGTGGTGTGACTGTTACTGCAGGTTGCACCACTGTGGTGTGACTGTTACTGCAGGTTCCACCACTGTGGTGTGACTGTTACTGCAGGTTGCACGTGTGTGGTGTAACTGTTACTGCAGGTTGCACGTGTGTGGTGTGACTGTTACTGCAGGTTCCACCACTGTGGTGTGACTGTTACTGCTGGTTGCACGTGTGTGGTGTAACTGTTACTGCAGGTTGCACGTGTGTGGTGTGACTGTTACTGCAGGTTGCACTAGGGTGTGGTGTGACTGTTACTGCATGTTGCACTAGGGTGATGTGACTGTTACTGCAGGTTGCACCAGGCTTGGGTAACTGTTACTGCAGATTACTGAACTGAACTCAGAAAATACATGGGTGTGGTTTTCAAGAGCATGTTTGTTCTGCTCCTTTCTGTATTTTTCCTACAGATATACCAGTTAAAGCTCAACCCAAAAGGCGACGAGCAGAGAGTGCGGGCAACTCTAAATAAACCAAGCAAAAATTCTAACAGCAAGTCGGAGTACTCGCTTCACAGAGAAAAGATGAAAGCTACCTTGGAAGAAAATCACAGACTTAGGAGACATCTAGAACAGGTAAATAAAAACACGACAGTCAGCCGAAACCTTACTTTTATAAACTGTCAGAGTGATTCAAATTACGGTACATCGGCAACCGGGTGACCCATTAGCTGGCCGGTAGACGACTTTGCCTCCCGTCGGGAAAGTATTTTCAGATTAAGTAAAAAGCGCCATCCCAATATGGGACGCAATTTGTCGTTACTTTAAAGCCCCATTTCCACAGTAGTTTGGGCCCCTAATATAACTTAACGGTTGAACGGGGTTTCTACGACTTGTGTTCGGGTGATGCTCATCCAAACGAGGGCACTTTGTGTCACCGGGTGTTGGTCGCTCGTTGTATGGTCGTGGTGAGACTGAACAACACACGACAGTATTTGGGTCTGTCTTCTTTGATGGAGTCAACACTGAAGGAGTGCATTTAAGAGCTACTTGGTGGCGGACAAGGCTACGCTATTTTACATGGGGCACATAAGCTAGTCTCAATTGTAACCAAAAGCTTCCCCTTTGTGGATGCTGGCTGAACGTGGCCATTTTTTTTTTTTTTTTTTTTTCGCAAAGCAAGGCAAAGTAAGTTATGGTTGTGATTATAGTATTTTATTCTTGTTCTCCGCGCGGGTTCCAGGGTCCCATGTTAGTGGAGAGGGGAACACATCTTCGTATGGTGGAGAGGTAACTAGCAGAAAGTACAGTGAAATTTCGTTAACAAAAATTCTAAGCGACCGAAAATCTTTCTCTCTCTCTCTCTCTCTCTCTCTCTCTCTCTCTCTCTCTCTCTCTCTCTCTCATTCTCTGTGTCGCTAGCTATGTGTATGTGTTTATTTCTGTATCTATGTCTATGTTTGACCCTTTTCGTGTCTACCTTGCTTTTTTTTTCTCTTTTTATCTCTTTCCTTTTTCTGACTCTCTCTTTCTCCCCCCCCCCCCTATCTCTCTCTCTCTCTCTCTCTCTCTCTCTCTCTCTCTCTCTCTCTCTCTCTCTCTCTCCTCTCTCTCTGCCTCCGACGTCTCAAATAATTTTCGGTCTCTCTCTCTCTCTCTCTCTCTCTCTCTCTCTCTCGCTCCTGGCTGTGGTATGATTATGTAAACAAATAATTATGCGGTTCTCCTAGAAAATAGAGAAATACGGTCTCATGAACACAATTTCATGACAGTGATAGAAGTGTCATCTTCACCGTGGTGAGCTGGACTGTCAAAATAGAGAGATTCAGTTTCATGAACACAATTTCATGACAGTGAGAGAAGTTTCATCTTCACGTGGTGAGCTGGACTGTCAAAATAGAGAAATGATTGGGAAGCTCCTCATAGATGTGAATAATGGGCTCAAAGAAAAACGATCTTCTCACTTCCTGCAGAGTTCACTTACATCGTTTTGTGATCAATGAATATCTGTTTGAGGCATGTTAAACTTGTGACCTTTTGAAGGCACACCTGCGGCTCGCAGACAAAATATCGTGCACTAATTAGTTGTTTATGTGGCCCCGGTGACGACAAACTTTGACGCAGATTACCCTCAGGGGAACCCTCAGTTTCACAGGCCTGGTCATAAAGTGTATGTGCGTTTTTAAATTTTAAAGAAAATCAGACATTATTTATTTGCAACTAGCTTATCAGTTATCTTCATCAACGGTTTTCAAACTGGGTACACCCATGGGTGACGCGAGCGTATGTCAGGGGTGCCGCGAGCGTATGTCAGGGGTGACGCGAGCGTATGTCAGGGGTGCCCCGGCAAAAATCAAGAATGTTTCCAAATCTGCTTGAGATTAGCAAATACCGCTGTTTAAAACAGAAATACCCTGAAGAAAGCCAAAAAGAGTTCTGGATGCAGGTGTGTTCAGAAGACAATGCTACAAGGCTGCAGTACATTCTCAACGTACGCTTGCATTAAAAAAAAAAAAACATACAGGAGCAACCTTCAAGTGATTTGGAGGGTACAGCCAACTAAACTTACCATAAACATCCAGGGAAATGAAGAAACATTAATTCAAGCAGTTTTATTTATCGCAATAAAGACAACTGATACATTAAATGTGCACTGTTTTCTCTCTCTCTCTCTCTCTCTCTCTCTCTCTCTCTCTCTCTCTCTCTCTCTCTCTCTCTCTCTCTCTCTCTCTCTCTCTCTCTCTCTCTTGTTTTTCTAAGCATTCAAACCGTTTAAGGGTAGTCGTGCCGCAAAAGATTTTTTACCTGATATGGGTGCCACGACAAAAAAAATGTGAGAACCGCTGATCTACAGGCTGGTATTTTCTATAGAAACATGTCAGCCACAGATTGTTGTTTCGATTCTTTGCCTTCCACAGAAAGCCAGTGAACTAGAGAATCTTATAGAGCAGTTGGGTGATGACGTCATCAAAGACGAGGTGGACTTGCACACTGCGTTACTACACAAGAAGAAACTAGCACTTAAATATGTGGACGGCTCTCCAGGAAAGGTATCCGTGAAATGTAAGTTCAATGGTGGGTGAGTGGGTTAGTTGCTAACCAGTTGGTTGCTGGGTTGTTGGGTTGGTTGGTAAGTGCGTGTGTGCGCTGTTAGGTTTATTGATGGGTTGTTAGGTTGGTGCATGTGTGCGCTGTTAGGTTTGGTAATGCTTTGATTGGTTGGTGCGTCTATGGGCTGTTCGGTTCACTGGTGGGTTGTTGTTGTTGGTTTGTGTGGGCTGTTAGGTTCGTTGGTGGGTTGTTGTTGTTGGTTGGTTGGTGCATGTGTGGGCTGTTAGGTTCGTTGGTGGGTTGTTGTTGTTGGTTGGTTGGTGCATGTGTGGGCTGTTAGGTTCGTTGGTGGGTTGTTGTTGTTGGTTGGTTGGTTGGTACATGTGTGCGCTTTTAGGTTCTTTAGTGGGTTCTTGTTGTTGGTTGGTTGGTACATGTGTGGGCTGATAGGTTTGTTGGAAGTTGATTGGTTGGTACTTTTGTGGGCTGTTAGATCTGTTAATGAAGTTGACTGGTTGTTGGTTGTTAGGTTTGTTGATGTGTTAATTGGCTGGTGCGTATGTGGACTTTAAGGTTTGCTGATGAGTTGTTGGGTTGGTTTGGTTGGTGCGTGTGTGGGCTGTTAGGTTCGTTGTTGGACTGGTTGGTGCATGTGCGTGCTGTCAGGTCGTTTATCGTTTTATTAGTTGCTGGGTTTGGTATCAGGTTGATAAGGAAGTTGGCTAGCTGGTCTAACATTGCTTAATGGGTTGTTGGACTGCTTGGCTGGTGGGTCATTAGGTTGTTTCGCTGAAGGTTTGATTGTTTGGTAAGTTGGTGGAGTATTGGGTTTGTTGGTTGCTTTATGGTTTGGTTTATAGGATTTGTTCGTTGATGATTTGGTGGGTTATACAGCTGGATCGTTGATATTTTGGGGGGTTATACTGTTGGTTCGTTGAAGCTTATGTGGGTTACAGGGTTGTTTCGTTGATGGTATGGTGGGTTATAGGGTTGGTTAGCTCATTGTTTTGTGGTTGATAGGGTTGGTTCGTTAATGGTTCGGTGGGTTATAAGGTTAGTTCTTTGATGATTTGGCGGGTTGTAAGATTGGTTTGTTAAGGGTTTTTTGGATGGTAAGTTGGTGAGTTTTTGTGTTTTTTGGTTGATTGTTTGTTGGTAGGTTATTGTGTCGGTTGGTAGGTTATTGTTTTGGTTGGTGGTATGGACGGTTGCCTCTTAAGTTGGTGGGTTACTAGGTTGGTTGCTGGTTGACTGGCTGTTTGGTGAGCTGCTTAGTGAATAAGTGGATTGACTAGATTTGGTTAGTTGGTTTTTGTGTTGGTTGACGGTTGATCGGATTTTTTTTTTTTTTAATTCACATGTTTCTATTCATACAAACTTGAATGTGAAAATCTCAGATATTTAATCTAATGACAAATACGAATACCTTCAAATATTAGACAGATTTTTTTAGGTTGAGAGTCTGTGCCAGTCTACTGTGTGTTTCAAAAGTGTCAAGAAATAGATGAAAGTCGTTTAAATATGGTTTATTTGTATTTTGCTATTGTGGTTGTTTAAATCAGTCGTCATATGTGAAATGAAAGAGTTCAAACATTTTTCTGAACCCTTGTTGACAGTTATGATTTCAGCCTATTCTTTGCCACATAGTTTTGATTGTTTCTTTTAGTCTGTCAAACGACTTTGGTACTCTACATACTTTGCCTCTCAACATCCCTTGTTTAGTTTTGGGTAGTGCATTTAATCTTTCTTATTCCATTTGCATTGCTTTAACTCGTTTCTTTTTTCATAGGCCTTTGACTTTATTTTCTATACAGTTTTTTTATTCTTGGCTTGCTTTGCAAAAAAAAATACGTCACGTTCAACCAGCATCCCCGAAGGAGGAGCTTTAGGTTATAAATATGTCTAGGTTATGTGCGCCATATAAAATGGCTTAGCCCTGCTCGCCACCAGGTAGCTCTGAAAAGAACTGTTTCAGTATTGAATGCGATCAAAGGAAACAGACCCAAATACTATCCCAACCGACGACGAAGTCGTCTATCGGCGAACCAATGGTGGCCCGGTCTTCTATGATACAGTTGAACTTAGACCCCTTGTTTTTCATGCGATTCGCACTTCATCTCCTCACTTCCATACTTTGCAGCCAAGTATGAGTCGTGTGGCCTCATACTGGACCCTGTCCAGTATTTCTATCTGACAGCTAAGAGGCTCAGCTATTGATAATGTTTATAACTTGATGTGTGAATGAAATGATGTAAGAATGGAGGGAGACCTCGAAGGGCAGAATGTTAGACGGGCCTGCGGGCCAAATTCTTAACCCTTTAAAAATAACGTTTGTTCGTTCGTTCGTTCGTTCGTTCGTTCGTTCCATATGATTTAGACTTTAGCATCTTCATTTCTGTTTAGTTTTGACTTTAAAATTGATTACTTTATTTACACTTTCGACTTTACCGCCCCTTCTGTTGTTTAAAGTTGTGACACTAATCCTGTTCTGTTTCGGACAGCTATGACCCTAATTCGCCTTGCAGGCCTTGTTATTCTTACTCAACAAACTGTGGGCGCAACCAGTTAAATGAGTTGTCAGACTGAAATTGACTTTTCTGGATTTTCAACAACTGGCGATGTTGATCTCATGAGATGTAGTGATCTTTATTCCAGCCCTCGTTGAAGGAAACAGATTCCCACAGATAAACTCAACAACTCTCTTTAAATATATTTTAATTGCTTCACTTGTTCTGATAAACCAAGGTTCTTTCTACATTTTGATTGCTTCCATATCCTATATTTGAACCCTACTAAAAAGATTTCACAATTACCTTAAGCGTGCCGGTTTTTTTTTTTTTTTTAATTCTAATTTCGGGAAGTAAACTCTGTGATCATCAAGATGAAATTCTATAAAATCTATTAGCGTCTGTGTGATGTATGTCAGAAAAGGGAAACTAATCGCTGGAAGAGATGATTCTAATTATGCCCCTTTGATTACGGCGCCATACAATCAGTAGATTAGCTGTGTAGATTTAGCTGTACAAAGCCAGTCAGAAAACATACTACCCCCCACCGCCATCCTACCCTGCTGTCCCCGCCATCAATGTTTAGGCAGCGACGCTGGGACCTGCAGATAAGGCCTATTAAACCAACTCTCCCAAACCCCTTTTTTCCCCAGAAAGATTTCAATAGCCCACTCTGTTTCCCCCCCCCCCCCCCAAATAATTTCACACAAAACCTGTTGAAGTTGACTATGCGGACCTCTTAACCATACCTAGAAGTTCACTTTGTGGGTATTTGTTTATACATTTCACATTGTTGCAGATATTTATATTGTTAGATTTTATATTTATTTGCCACTTCAGTACATTAATATAGTAATATTATGGTGCATTAAAGCAAGGTTTAGACCAATTGAGGCTCCCCTCCCTCTTTTTTTTGTTTTCACTTTATATAAGACGTGTAAGGTGGCCGAGGTTCCCTACCCCACCATCACCCGGGTTTTCTTTGACTGACTGACTTTCTACCCCACCAGGACATCACACAAGCGATAAACACCCAATGACACAAAGTGCCACCGTGTGGATGAGGATCGCCGTGGAGAGGTCCCAGAAACCGCGTTCAGACAATTGGCCAATTTATGGCCTGCCTATATTGCGGCTCCTGGCAAAAGCCAGGGTGAGGCTTCAAATAACAAAAAAATTCATCCTAAAAAGGACGAAACTGGATTCACGGGTTTTCTTTGTTTCGGCACTCCTGGTATGTAAATGAGCGAGACGTTAAGAGAGTAATGTGTAGGCTGGTTGGTTGTTTCTTCGCAGTTTCTGGCCACTAACTGAAGGGTTAACAAACGAGCAGCTTGAAGATTTAGGAAGACTATGTAACTGTTCCATTTTGCTCCAAGTCATGCAGGTGTGTTGGGAAATAAACAGGCAGTAGACTCGCTGGTTCTGCGCCACTTAATGGCAAAGTGAAGCATGGCAGGTTAGAGGCTGTAAGGGCCCTTGGCCAGCGAGTACACAGTGCGGAGGCCCCAATAATATCACCACGGGCTGAGCGAAATGGTGCAGCGGGGACTGACCAGAGGATCCGGCCGATGCTCAACACTCGATAGGAGGTATGAAACGGATATAGTCAGACTGTTATTGATACCGCCAGAAGTGGAAATCTGCTTTTGCTGCTGGAGATGGGGACGGAGCGCATATGAGAACGTCCCGAGTAGACTTACTGGCAGCCTAAATATCACTCTTACCTCGTTGCAACCCTTAAGATGTGATAGTTTTTCAGTGTAGCGATTCCATTCTATAGAGTTTAGAAGCCTTGTGACTGGTGCAGCAAGCCGACATTGGTTTCTTTCAGTGATTCCCAAACTGTGCGCAGCGGCGGCCCTGGGAGCAGCGACCTCTTTACAGGGGCTAAATATTCGAAGATACACGAGGTTTACTTTTATTCCCTTGACAGGGGCGTTGACACAAAGATGTTATTTGGTTATGCCCTAAGTCTCGTTTAAGCGTGTAATAGTGCTAAATGTCAAGCAAATGAAATAATATATTTGTATTTTTTTAGACAACCTAAGACAAAGAACATCTAGATATAGTTGGGGGAGGAGTATTTTGGTCCTCTTACAAATTTACATTCTGACGGTTAGTTCGACGTTAATCTCCCCAAAAAATGTATGTCACTTTTCATTCACAAGTTTTTTTTTGCTGGTCGTCTTTCTTAAAGGTTACGGGTGTGTCCGGCTCTGTTGTTTGCTTTCTGTGATGGCTTGCATTTACGTTTTCATTCCGAGAATTAGAATGACTGTGACATAGGTTGCGGCACTCTCTGGGGTGGGGGGGGGGGTGGATTTATGTTAGACCCAGTTTCTCCATGTTTCTGGAGTGTTAAAATCGCTGGCGTGCCGAAATATACAATACGCGATATCAACGGCATTGCGGAACACCCGTGTAACCGTGTGCAACATGGGGGGGGGGAGGGGCTTAAGAACTACCAATCAAAAGTGCGCTAGTGTGTATGTGGGCGGTGTCTGGGAGACTAACGTTGAACTAACCGAGGAGTTACTTTACCTCCAAACCCCCAAATCGCTTTTTTGAGGGAGAGGGAGCCCCAAGATACATGGTATAAATACATAAGCTTCTTCTTCTTCTTCACTTCCTCTTTTACCGCTGTGGGTGTCGAGGGAGATATAAGGTTCTGTTTCTAGCTCTTCTGGCTGACTCGACCATAGGCACATCATGCTGTTGTAGAGTTTCTCTGTTATCCTTCCATCTTGTTCTTGGTCTACCCCGTGCTCTACGTCCTTCTTCTCTTTCCCTGTATGCTTTGTATGGTATGGTGTCACAAGGCATTCTCTCTAAGTGGGCAAACCATTTCACTTGCTGTCTTTGTATGTAATCCAGAATTGGTTCTGCGCCGACTTGTTCTCTTATGATCTCATTCCTGATCTTATCTCTTATGGTCACTCCTACAGCCCTTCTCAGACATCTCATTTCCGTGGTTACTAATTTTCTTTTATGGTTTGTTGTGAGTGACCATGTTTGGCACTGGTAGCACAGAGTTGGAATAAATATGCTTTGAATAAGATGTCTCTTTGTGCTGATTGGGATTTTCTTATGCTGTAAGCATAAGCAATGTATTTTTATTTGATATTTAATGCAATCCCTTACAGCCAGCTGTCCTTCCGATGCTGAATGTATCTCTACATACTCGGAAGCCAGCTGTACCACAACGGTGTTCACGAACGACGAGTCACCACCCACATCTAGCCTACTCAGACACAGGTTGCACACCTGCAAACATTACTCAGAGGTCATCGAGATGGCGGGCATCAGGTGAGGTGGTAACGGTGTCTGTATCAAAGTTATTAACGTCAGAGTCTAGAGCATCGGTTCTCAACCTATAGGTTGCGACCCTTTGTAGGGTCGAACGACCCTTTCACATGGATCGCCTAAGACCATCAAAATACACACATTCATTGAAGTTATGAAGTAGTAACGAAAATAATTGTACGTTTGGGGTCGACACAATATGAGGAACTGTATAAAAGAGTCGCGGCTTTAGGAAGGTTGAGAACCACTGGTCTAGTATCCACACAGAACTGTATGTGGCCTGGCTGGGGTAGCCGTTGTTGGTTAGTTGCTTATCCTTTACAGGGCGTTATGGAAGCAACCCAAGCATCTTTTAGCTGTTGTAGTTTTTTTATTGGCAAAATGAACGTTCAGTAGTTTGGGTGTAGCTGTTATGGGTGTCTTTATTAAAACTTCTTTGCATGTTGAAGGGGTATCTAGGATCTGTCTTGTTGGTGTGTGTGCAGATTGAGAATTTGTAGTTTCAACACAGTATGGTAAACATTAAGTAGCTGCCCAGAGGTGACTGATCGATCAATCAAAATGATCGACTTCATTGCATTGGGCGTTATCCCATATGGTTCGGTCTCTGGCTACATAATGACTAGACACCTGCCGAGAGCACAGAGTACGAACTCCCTTGCACCAACGACGATATCCCGTGATCTTGACAACAACTGCATTTGTGGACTGAAAGACAATTCCGAGAAATGAACCCACGACCTTCAGATCGCAAGGCAAATGATTTGACCATTTTACCACGAAAACTATCGTCTTGTTAATTCTGACCTGGAATATGTAGAGGACTAACGCTTCCAACTTTAACATCTGTTTTTGTTGTGTAACTGCGATCCCTTTTACTTTAACCAAGATTCAGTCATGTTCAAACTTGATTCGGGTAGGATTTTCTTTATCTAATGATTAGAGATGGGATGAATTTCCCGCCAGACTTGCCACGGGCTGATCAAGGACCTATGCTTCATTAGGGTGAAAAGAGGGAGAGGCGGATGATGAGGAGAAGGAGAAGAGAAAGAGGAATAACAACAACAAAGCCATTACTACTCCTACCACTACTACTATTGCCACGTCAGCAGTACTTAAGTTGCTTCTACTTCAGCTACCAAAACCATCAACATAGCATACTACTTCTGCTGCTGACCAATGCTGCCTCCACTGCGACTACTGTTACTATCAATACCTCAACTACTAATACTTCTACCGCTATACTTCTGCTGCTAATACTGCTATTAACACCACATCAGCTAGCGATACTTCTGACACTACTACTATGTTACTACCACATCAGCTAGCGATACTTCTGACACTACTACTATGTTACTACCACATCAGCTAGCGATACTTCTGACACTACTACTATGTTACTACCACATCAGCTAGCGATACCTCTGACACTACTATTATGTTACTACCACATCAGCTAGCGATACTTCTGACACTACTACTATGTTACTACCACATCAGCTAGCGATACTTCTGACACTACTACTATGTTACTACCACATCAGCTAGCGATACTTCTGACACTACTACTATGTTACTACCACATCAGCTAGCGATACTTCTGACACTACTACTATGTTACTACCACATCAGCTAGCGATACCTCTGACACTACTACTATGTTACTACCACATCAGCTAGCGATACTTCTGACACTACTACTATGTTACTACCACATCAGCTAGCGATACTTCTGACACTACTACTATGTTACTACCACATCAGCTAGCGATACTTCTGACACTACTACTATGTTACTACCACATCAGCTAGCGATACTTCTGACACTACTACTATGTTACTACCACATCAGCTAGCGATACTTCTGACACTACTACTATGTTACTACCACATCAGCTAGCGATACTTCTGACACTACTACTATGTTACTACCACATCAGCTAGCGATACTTCTGACACTACTACTATGTTACTACCACATCAGCTAGCGATACTTCTGACACTACTACTATGTTACTACCACATCAGCTAGCGATACTTCTGACACTACTACTATGTTACTACCACATCAGCTAGCGATACTTCTGACACTACTACTATGTTACTACCACATCAGCTAGCGATACTTCTGACACTACTACTATGTTACTACCACATCAGCTAGCGATACTTCCGACACTACTACTATGTTACTACCACAACTACTACAAGGCGTATAATTAGCAGTGTACACGTATCAGGCATGCAGTTAACAAGCACGAGAAAGCATTTCACAGCGCT